CCCGCCAAACGCCTAGAGTTTTTCACACTTGGGTCAACTCAAATTAAGCATACGGCTGTGTGACGGTTAGGTTAGTTTCATTTTGTCGCAATTGGTCGATTCCCAGATGAATACAAGCGCAGTGCTGTCTCTAGAACTAATTTAATTTTAGCGCCGGCACAGCCGGTCACGGTCCGCACGGCCGACACCAACGACGACTTCTGCTGTGTAGTCCACATAGCGGACTTGCGTAGTAAGTAGCGCGCCATAGTGAAACAGAAATACGCACCAACTGCCGATCACCTGGCCACGGTGGCTAAACGATGTAATGGCGGTCGGGTGCAATGGCTGACAAACAAAAAACTGCCGGTCTACGGGTGTTACACAGATTCTGGTTCCCCCTCCAACTGTATCATATCGCACTTCTGAGAATGCCATAATATCTGGACTCGTTTAGGGGATCTGGTGAAGTTGCGGAAAAAGCCATTTCCTCGGAGAAAGTGGTCTCCTCCTCAAGATGCGAATCGTCGACAAGGCAGTAGTAGTGATGCGGAGAAATGACACCAATTCTCAAGCTGCCGCTCTCTCGACGAGACCTGGCCACGCATTCAAACCTAATGCGAGCCGAGGATGACGGGACTACAGGAACTAATTGTCGCACACCTTCTCTCCCCCCCCGTCACCACCCGTTCCCTTGTCCGGTCCCCAAATAAGACTAGAATCTGACCCCCTTGATCCCTTTATACCTCCCCCCCTTATCCCCCTAATTACTACTGATTGTTTGTTTAGACTTTCGTTAACTCTACCCTCCCTTATATTATTGTATTGCCTGATAATGAATTAATCGAAAATGTTTGTTCCCCTAACTTGAATTTCTGATCACTCAATTTCGATGAGGCTGACATTCTCACGAGAGGTGGCAATCCTGTAAGTCGGGAGTTACTTGAGTCCTGGTTTATGGGCCCACAGTCTATAAACAAGTGCAACGACTTGCCCAATCCATATTCGCTGTGGAGGCTCAATTTGGCCAAAACAAGTCTCAAATCGGGGGACGCACAGGCCAATGCATCGTACAATGCCAGCGTTGGGGAGCTGGAGGGTCAAACAAACCTCACGTTCAATTCGTGTGAGGGCAGTTCAGCAGTTCACGGCCCGCACACCGGCCATCAAACAATTGGCGCACAAGTGGGCAATTATTCTCGATAGAGGTGTAGTTAATCGTCCTAAGTGTGCGTTAGCATAGTGACTGCAACTCCCTGTGCATCGATTATGCATTGTTGCGATGTCTCAGATGAAGGATTCGCAACGGAGTTAGAGACGTTCGACGAATAAAAAGTAGTGTGCCGACGATAACCTCTTCCTCCTTTCGACTCTTCTACGCTTGCCACGCACGACTTGCCCCGCAGACTATCATACGGACGGATCGCATCGCATCTCTTTCTCGCATAGCTCGAACAAAGCAAATACGGCCCCAGATTACGAGTCACCTGATAGTGATGAGATCAATGCTGATGACCAAGTCAGGATAAAATTACGTCAGCTCACGTCAGATTCACCAATAGAAGCATGACTATGGCGAATGAAACAAGCACGAACAGTACAAGCTAGGTAATCAGAAGCACGAAAGCTGACTACAATATGTACTTTGTACTCCTGCAAACAAAAAGTGGCATACATGAGTTTAAGAGGAGGAATGAAGAGGGGAAAGAGTGAAGGAGACGACGAGCCGAAAAAGAAGACCTACCCGAACAGATGAGAATTACCGCTGGAGGACTCTGAACTCGCAGAGCGGTAGGTCAGCTGGCTGACTGCGACAAGAAGGAGAGTTCCTACGGAACGCGCGTGATACCACTGAAGGAGAGGGCCTGGATTGCAGAGAACAAGACGCACGAAGAGGATCAGCAACAGCCCAACAACGACATCTCTGTGCTCATTCCTAAAGAGCAACAAAATTTGACAGGTGCTGGGGAAGAAAGAGCGCAAAAGAGCCAAGTAGGTAGTTTTTAAGACAGCTATTGGGCACCCCAAAACTGAATAACATAATAATTACAAAGGCCTTATATTAAATGGAATGTTTGCCTTTATTTCCTGAACTGAAAATAACTGAACGACTTCGCATGCTAGCTCAAACGAACTGGAGAACCCAGAAATGTGTGGACAAGACTTCCATAACAACATAGTCGTCATATGAGTTGCATGGGATCCAGGGATTGGTAAAGGTTTTCTGTGTCGCGAATGAGCCATAAACTACAAGGGAGTAAAATGATCCGAAATCAGATCTGTGAGTGTATTCCCCCAGAAACCATCTCAGCTCTTAAAGATACTAATTGCTGATCTAATGTGACCAGATTTAATAAACTTGAAAGCTACGCGAAGAGTCGAACAAATGCGGCCATATCAAGAAAACAGTTTTCTAGGCAGAACCCAGTTACAGCTTCAAGTTATATGAGTGAAGTCAAAAAGTAGGCCATTAACTGTCTATGTCCTGAATTCCTGGCCCCACCTTTACCAAGTGCAGTGACTTCCCTCTTTTCATTCAGCGCTGAGACCTTGCTTAAGAAAAACAACTAGCCAAGCGCGGAGCTCACTAGTAAACACCATTTCCACTTCCAGATTAACTGAGCCTAGATCGGTGGTCCCCACATTTTCATCATATTCCCGATCTCAACCAACAAAGCAACGAGCCCATGATGCAATAATGGTGTGGTACACTCAATGGCCAAAGGTCTCGGGTTCGAATCCCGGATGACCCACACCTGGGATTGGGTACGAATGGCTGATGACAAATAATAAGCCAGAAATGGCTATTCCGGTCTCCCATCGCTCTGTCGTATCCATTTCATCCTATCTTACTGGTCACTATGCGGCTGCCTAAGCGGGCCCTAAGGTGAGCTACAGGAAAAAACCGGAACGCACATTGTTCGACATTTAGATCAGCG